CTCTTCCATCATTCATCTTCTCTACCTAGAGTTGTCTTTTCAAAATCTGGGTCTGATTAAGGCACTGTGCTGCCTGACAACCGTCAGCGCCCCCACCAGCCCAGCCCACCGTTCAGGATGGCCCTCAGTCCAGGCTTACCCTCCTTTGCCTACGCCCTTGCTGGCCACTTGTCCTCTTATCGCCGTCACTGTACCCTTCGCTCTGCCCTGCCAGACCTCCGTCTTTCTTCTCTTTTTTTAAAATATATTTTATTGATTTTTTACAGAGAGGAAGGGAGAGGGATAGAGAGTTAGAAACATTGATGAGAGAGAAACATCGATCAGCCACCTCCTGCACATCTCCTACTGGGGATGTGCCCGCAACCCAGGTATGTGCCCCTGACCGGAATCGAACCTAGGACCTTTCAGTCCGCAGGCCGACGTTCTGTCCCCTGAGCCAAACCGGTTTTGGCAACCTCAGTCTTTCTGACAGCCGTGCGTTTGCACATGCTGCTGCTCCCTGTGGCAGAAGCATCCATCCTGCCCCCGTACGCTGGTTGAGTTGCAGCTTACAAAGCTCGTTCTTTAGCTGTATTATAGGCAGCACCTTATTTTTACCGCATTATAAAGCCTATCAACCTGTTGTAATTATGTGTGTCTCTCTTTCCGTTTGACTTTGGGATCCTCAAAGGCAGGACAGTGATCTGTTCATAGTTGCGTGCGGGTACCTGACATCGTTTCTGGCATCTAGCGATACAGACTACATTTACAGTGACTGTTTAAGTGGATGGCATCTGCAGTTTTGCTCTTCATTTCTGAAGGATTTTATCTCAGTGAAGAAGTGGGTAATAGCTTTTCTATACTATTGTTTTGCTGTAGTCTCAATATGACTAATTAAAAAGGCAAAGTTGAAAGTTGAATTGACCCCAAAAGGGGAAGAAAAACAGATATACAATTGGAGTACATCTGTGCCAGGGTTTTTATCTTGCATTCTGGTGGATTCTGGTCACTTTTCAACTTAACACGACATACCTGTGTCAGGACCTAAGGACCTTAGTGGAGGAGAACTGCATTCCTAGAAAGTCCCTGCAGAGGTGAATAGTGGGTTTCCCTGGGTTTGAGTGATGGTCTGGATTTACTCAGCTGGGAGGCCATGTAGTCTAGTCCCCAGTGGCTAAATCTCTTCTTTTCTCCACAGGGAAACAACTGGAAGGCATCTGGTAAGTTGGGTGGGATCCTTACGTTGACTGGTTTACGAAAGAAAGCTGAACCTGTGCACTTCAGGTTCCAGTCTGTGGTTCCAGCTTAAATCCCAGCTCTGCGTCATAAATCTTCAAGTTGTAATGCGGTGGTTCTCAGCCAGGGATTCTTTTGTCCCCTCCCCCCCGGGACATTGGGCAGTGTCCGGAGACATTTTGGGTGGGTGGGTGGAGGCCAGGGATGCTGCTGTCACATCCTATAGTGCACAGGACAGCCCACAACAAAGAATTACTCAGCCACAACTGGCAGTGGTGCTGAGATTGGAAACCCTGCCCTAAAGAAAGGCAGAGAGATGTCCTGCCGCCCCTCACCAAGGTTTCTAACTACAGAAGTCTGAAGCCCCCACAAGTCTGTCTTAAATCACACCTACTTTGATCTCTCACTGCTGGACCCATCCCTGTCAGACAACAAGACGGTGGCTGAGCTCTCAGCTCCACTCATGAGGAAGCCATAGGTCAGTATTCAGTCTTGACTCCTAGACCCTCCTGACATTGGATTGATAGAATGGCCCTTTGCTTTGTTTGACTCAGACCAAATAATATGAACCTCTTCACCTGAAATAGGTCCACCCTTCACACCATCGGGTCCTTCCAGCAGCATGGTCCAGGTGCACTGCTCCTGTTAGTTTAAAAAGTCCGGCAACACACCTTGGTCTGCAGTCTTTATTTCAGTAATAGATTTGTTAATACCAAGGTGAATTTCTAGGTACTCCCCTCTGCTTACATGGTTCTCAGCTGGGGTCAATTCCGAGACATTTGGTAATGTCTGGAGACATGTTTGGTTGTCACAACTGAGGGGAGGGGATGCTGCTGGCATCCAGTGGGTGGAGGCCAGGATGCTGCTACACATCCTGCACCACACAGGCCAGCCCCCAGTCAAGAGCTGTCCAGCCCCAAATGTCAATAGTGCCAGAGTTGGGAAACCTCACCTGTGGTGTTTGTCTTGCCTTTGGTTGGTTTTGTTAGGCTGTTGACCACAGTCCTATCCGTGGGCAGAAATGGTTCTCAGTGCAGTGTGGTGAGTGCTTTTCCTCAGATGGTTTTAAGTTTTCTGGCTTATTCTGTCTCCTCTCTGCGTTGCAGGCACACCTCCATAGTTGTACACAAGGATGAGTTCTTCTTTGGCAGCGGTGGGATCTCCAGCTGTCCCCCGGTGAGTGACCCTCCCCAGCCCTGTCCTGCAGTCTCAGGTTCCTGGGGATTCCCAGAGACCAGGAAGTCGGCTGCTCCTCTCTGTGTTCTCGTCCTGGCCCAGTGCATGTAGGGCTGTGGTATTGCTCCTCGCCACTGCCTGAAGGCTCAGCTCAAGAGAACCCTCCCCAGGCCCTCCAGCCAGTTGCTGTGCTCTCTGCTCCCATGGCACTTTGGGTCCCTCTGTGTCACACTGAGCATGTTAGGGTGAAAGGAGCTGTTCCTGGGGTTCCACGGGAACCATGTAAGCTCTTGGGGAGCCGAGACTGTGCCTCACTTTCCTATCCCGTGACCAGCTCCGTGCCGGCTCACAGCATGAACTCAGCCAGTGTGAAGCCGAATCCGCGGGCTCTGAGAGGTAAAGTGAGCGGCCCAAAGTGACATGGCCAGTATGTGGCAGCAGTACTTAAACAGGCCTGTGACTCTAAAGCCATGCCGTTTTCCAAAAAAATTCTGTCTGAACTAGCCACGGTTGTCCCAGGAGGTGCTCAAACCACATAGCCCTTCATTTTGATACTCATAAATGGGAAGTCATTCTTGGTTTCTTCTCACTGGCCCCTCACCTATAACAAATCCTTCCTTAAGCCCAGTCAATTCTACCTTGTAAATGTGTCTTGAATCAGCCTTGCTCTCCTCACCTATCCCCTTTTCTCCAGGGCTTTCACCTAATCCAGGCCACACTCATATCCAGCCTGGACCACAGCAATGCATCTACTCTTCTCCATCAGTCAGTTCTCCCCACGGGAAGCAAAGTGACCTTTTCCAAATGAAAATCTGATTGTGGCATCCCCCTGCTTAAGTCAGAACTCTACCCATTATTCTTGGAATAAAAACCAGAAAGCTCGCCCTGGCTGGTTTGGCTCAGTGGATAGAGCGTCGGCCTGCGGACTGAGGGGTCCAGATTCGATTCCAGCCAAGGGCACGTGCCTGGGTTGCGGGCTCAATCCCCAGTGGGGGGCATGCAGGAGGCAGCCAATCAATGATTCTCTCTCATCATTGATGTTTCTCTCTCCCCCTTTCCTTCCCTCTCTAAAATCAATAAAATATATATATTTTTAAAAAACCCAGAAAGCTCGGCATGACCTCCAGGGCCCTAACTGGTCTCAGGCTGCCTCTCGGGGTGCCCTCTTTTCAAGTCATGCCCTTGCCCAACCCCTCTCCGTACTCCTGGAACACACCTTCAAACCTCTCCACTGCCTTCAGCCCACTGCCCAATTTCTCACCTTGTTATGCTTCTCCATCCTTCAGATTTGAGCTCAGTGTCCCTGACCCTCAAATCTTCCTGACCCTTCAGACTGGGATGGTCCCCTGCCATATGTACTGACGGCATTCTGTAATTTTCCAGCAAGACCCTTATTGCAACTCATAATAATACATTGGTTTATGGGATTTTTTGTCTGCCTTCCCCACTCGGCTATAAACTCCCTGAGGGCAAGAAACTCATCTCTTTTGTTACATCATACCCCAGTGCCTAGCATAAGGCCCGTCACATAGTGAGTTCTCAATACATATTTGTTATATGAGTGAATAATGGGGGAGGGGGAGTCCAATAGTGACCTTTTAGTTTCTTATAACTCTGAGGTCATTTTTCTCTGGCTACCATGATTATCCTGCTCACCGTGCCCTCTCCAGTGCCTGGAACAATGTCAGGCACATAGTAGGTGCTCTCTAGCTATTGTGTAAATTCATGGTCTTGCCGAAACCGGTTTGGCTCAGTGGATAGAGCGTCGGCCTGCAGACTAAAAGGTCCCAGGTTCGATTCCGGACAAGGGCATGTACCTTGGTTGTGGGCACATCCCCAGTGGGAGATGTGCGGGAGGCAGCTGATCGATGTTTCTCTCTCATCGATGTTTCTGACTATCTCTCTCCCTTCCTCTCTGTAAAAAATCAATAAAATATATTTTTTTTAAAAAATTCATGGTCTTTGGAGGGAGCTTTGCTTTGGAGCGCGCTACCTTTTTCCCAGCTCATTCCCAGCGCTGTCCCTCCCTCGCCCCGCAGTGATCCTGTTGCTTCCCCGTGGCTGGTTTTCCCACTGGGCCTCAGTCTTGCCCTTGGTCTACTGTGGCGGTCTGTTAGCCCATGGCTGAGGGTTTTCTGTAGGCCTTTGACGGGCCATTAACTCCCTTGCCTGGGGAACCCTATTAGCATCATTGGATTATCCTCACTGATCATAAAAGAACTGAATTTGGAAATATTTGCCAGCCTGCCAGATTGCTCACAGTCCTTCACATTTTCCCTGTGTTCAAGGGACATCAAGTGTGTCACTAGAAACCCTGGCTGCTTACCTTTTGGACATGGGTATAGAAAGGTGGCCTGTCACGTGGGAGCCATTTCTAATTGTCCTGTTCTGCCCTCATGGTCGGGTAGTTTGGGGACGAAGGGAGATTCAGATTCTGGGTTCCTGTGTTTTTATCAGCTGAAGGAGTGGACAGCATCAGGAGTCTGACCTGCATGAGACTCGGCTTCCCGGGCCCCCACCAGAAACTAGAAGCCCAATTTCTTAGCCGTCTTTCTAGCACTGGCAATGGCAAGTCTCCAGGAAGCTCTAAGCCATTGGAGCCCCCGTGCACATAGGAAGTAACATTCTTCATCTGCCCTAGGTGCTCTGAGAGTTAAAGTTGTCAGAACAGAGCAGTTGTGGTCGTCCGTGGAAAGGCACATTAAAAAGTTCAATGGAAATGGTAACTTAATGACTCTCTTTGGGTTGGCTCTTTTAGGGAGGGACATTGCTTGGGCCCCCAGACTCTGTGGTTGATGTGGGGAGCACAGAAGTCACAGAAGAGATCTTTCTGGAGTACCTGTCCTCCCTGGGGGAGTCTCAGTTCCGGTGAGTGGAGACAGGGCGGTGGTTAGTGTGTCTGTCTCCCCACTAGATTATCACCCCCAGAGGGCAGCCACCAGTCCCATCCCCAGAGTCCTCAGCACCGGGCCTGGCCCAGCATTTGCTGAATAGACATGCAGAGGAGGCAGAAGAGCGCAGCGTCGCTCCAAGGCTGCGTTCCGCCCAGCAGGCCTTCTGCTGGGACATGGAGGAAGGACGGGCTAGTGATTCTTCCTGATTAAAATCAGCTGCTGCTATTCAGCAACTCCTGTCCTCGGCTTACACTGGCCAAGTGTTTTGTGCTGAAAATCAAAACCGAGGTTTGTAGAGGGGTTGGGATAGAATACACACTCGAGCAGATTTTCTCTTAAAGAAGCTTTTGTCGATTCAATAACTGTTAAACTCCAACCCTAGAGCTCTGCTTTTGTGAAAGTAAAGATTGTCCTGAAATTACTCATCCTTCCCTTCAAAATCTGTTTCCAATGGTCCAGGGAGGCAAACCAAGCAGCCCTCAAATTCAGCTCTGCTCCCCCTTCCGTTACCTGGTTGAGCATTTCATACACTCGCTTGCTGGCTGCTCGCTCATGCCTGTGCTCCTTTCTCACAATGTGCAGAGGTGAGGCCTATAACCTCTTTGAACACAACTGTAACACCTTCAGCAATGAAGTGGCACAGTTCCTGACCGGGAGGAAGATCCCTTCCTACATCACTGACCTTCCCTCTGAAGTTCTCTCCACGTAAGTGCCCTCTGCCTCTGCCCTGCCTTGTAAGTCCCCATTCCCGGCCAGTGCCACTCCTCCGCCCAGGTCTGCCCTCTCCTGGTCTCGACAGAATCTTCCCAAGCCTGGTGGGCCCTGTCATGATGGCAGCCACCATTTTCTCTACTCACCGGTGCACCCTTGTATTACCTTCACCCAACTTGGAGTTGGGCCATCTACCCTGGTCTGAGTGCAATCGCAGAACTTAGAAACCCACTAGTACAGAATCTGGCATCTGTCTTTCCCATTGCACACGAAGCATGGCCCTCCCCAGAAGTGCCCGCTTATAATGCAGTTCTAGATGGAGAAGCAGAGAGTAGGTCAGAGAATTCCGAGGGCGGCTTGTTGTTAGTCTTTCTTCCTCTGCACCATGAGCTCTTTGACGCCCTCAAAGACAACTTCCTACTTGCCTCGTACCTTATGGGCCATCACCCAGGCACTGTCCCTAAAAGGACACACACCCACCCAAAGCCATCACACCCCTCCATTCCTTTGCTATTGACAGGCAGCTCTGCCCACTCCAGGGCCATGTCCATTTGTTGACTGACTCAGTTTCTCCTGAACTGGGCCCTGTCCGACAGGGATCCCAGCAGGTTGAGCAGGCGCGGCAAGGGGACTCTTTTCACACTTGGGTAGGAACCCCTCCGGAGAAACTGCATCGGACACAAGGCTGCTCTGTCCCAGCCCTGGCCCCGCCTTCCTTGGCGGGTGTGTCAATCACGCCGCCTTACTAAGATCTAGGTTATGGGGCCCTGAGCAAGCTTTAGTAGCTGGAATGTTCTTGCTGTTATTGTTTGATGGGTGGAGACTGAACTAAGGTTACTATTTTTCAGTTTCATCTGTTTCTGTTTGGAATACTTCATTCCCTTTGAATTTGGGGACAGTTTTCCAAAATGGTAGCATCCACTGAAGGAAAACAGCCCCAGTCACTGAGATGTGTTGTGGACAACCTGTGTTAAGGTTGAGTAATCCTGGGCAGTCTCTGACATCTGGTGTTTGCCGTTCCAGCCAAGCTCCTCTGAGAACAAATGGGGAGCCCTTTACAAAGTGGCATTAACACCTGGCAACCTGCATTTGTTGCGTTTCCTGACTCTTCCTGTGTCCCTAGCAGAATCTCCTGACTTTACCTTTTTCATGTCTTTTTTTCCTCCTCGGCTTCCTCATTAAACTTTATTTTATCTTCTTGTACCATGAAAATTAAAGATACAAGTACAGAAAGTACAAGAAGCTCTAGTTCCCCGTATGTGGCCAGCCTGTTCAAGCCATAGAACTAACCAGGACCTAGAGGCAAAGGTAGTGAGATGGTAGCATCTACTGGGGAGGGAACCCCAGGTGTCAAAATGCAGAGCAGGCTGGTTAGAGACCCCTCCCATGAAAAGCCAGGCGGGAGGCAGGTGGGAAGAAGAGATAAGATAAGAGTGTCCTTCCCATGTGGTGGTGACGCTGCACCTGTGGGGAGCTGGGCGTGCTGGCGGTCCATGAACCCACCTGAGCTCCTGTGTCTGCTTTCTCCGCAGCCCCTTCGGACAGGCCCTGCGGCCCCTCCTGGACTCCATCCAGATCCAGCCTCCTGGAGGGAGCACCATGGGCCGACCCAACGGTCAGAGCTAACAGGACTGCAGGGGCCCGCCCTGCCTCCCAGGGCTTTCCTTTTTAAACAGAACAAACCCGACCAGATTTCTATTTTATAATTTTACATCAGAGCTAACAACCAGGGGACAGCTTTTTAAATTTCCCAGGGAAGGAGATCATCAGGCTGCATGTAGGACAATGCTGCTAAGAACAGAACAAAACGCCATCCCTTTGAAAGTATTATACTAATTTATTAAGGCTGTCTTGTCTGTGCGTTCACTTGACGCTGCTTCCTAAGCGTCCTCCACGCTCGAGGAAAGGAGGGGGTTTGTTTAAGCAGGAAGAACAGTTTGGGGGAGCCCAACCTAGAACCTCTTTCCAGAAAACACCCATGCTCTACCCAGGTTGCCACCTCCTGTGGGGATCCAGGTGAGTTTTACAACAGCCATGACCTGGAGGCAGTTCCTCACTAGTGTTAAACGAACCAAAGGAGTTGGTGCACGTGGAGCCAGTTTCAGGATGACTCACCCAACCCAAGTGAACTCTGGCCACAGCTGTGTCACCTTCCCTCCTCGACCCCAAGCAGGCCATGGGGCCCGAGCTGGAGCCGCCAAAAGCCTCGGGATCGAGGGAGAGCGACAGGAAGTGTCAGGCAGAGAAAACGGGATAAAGCCATTCCTCCTTCCTCCCTAGACTGATGGCCAGTCCTCAGACATCGATTTTGGGGAACCTGCCTTCCTCAGCATAGCTGACCTGTTGTAATTAACGAGTGTCCGGCTGGAGCGGCAGAGACCCAGGCCCCCTGTCTGCAAGTCACATGTAATAACCTTATTACAGTCACCTCCCCACCCAGACCAATGTGCAGTATTCAGCTGGGACCAAGGGGAATGATTCCCGGCTCCTGGAAATGTAGAAAGAATAATAATGCAGAGTCAAGGTGGCAAGGCATTTAGAGTTGTTTCTGATGGGAATTTGGGCATTATCCTAAATGTGTTGTGAAGACACGTTGTTTCCATCGTCATTTTGACTTTAAGGAAGCATGGTAGGGGGTGCATGGCCATTTTCCTTATGAGCTGCTGCTGAGACATAGGCAGGGAACAATCTGGAAGCTTCTTATCCAGAGAGGCTTTCAGATTCCCTTTCTTCACTGCGCCTCCCCTTAAGTTAGCTTTTGGGGAAGTGCGGGTGGAGGGAGGACTCGGCTGCCAGGTACCTGAGGCCCAGCTGCGGCATTGTCCCTCTGGCCCCTCCTGCTGCGACTTCTTAGACTTGAATTATGTTGTCTTTCCTGGGGTCTGGCCTGCAGCAGGTGCCTTTTTTCCCAAAAAGCTGCTGCTTCCTCTGGCCCCTCCTGTCTGTGCCATCCGCAGAGCAGCTGGCATCAGGGTCTCAGCTCAAGGAAAAGATGTTAGTCTGCCTTAGTGTTTGCCTGTGACCTAGCCAGCTGTGATCTCAAGTGACATTTTGGAACTTTTACGATGGGAGGCCAAACGAATGAGTGTTTAATTCTTCTCAAGACCCACTGATTGGCCAGAATGCGTGGCAGTGATCCACTAGAGCAGAGACTGGCAGGGGCCCTTACTTAATGTTCACCGACTGGAGAATGGACCACGGGGCATGGCTTTCTCCCAGGAAGGCAGCACGTTGGCTCCTTCCCGCCTGGTGTCTCCTTTCCCAGCTGCCTGGCCCAGCCCTCCCTCCCTACCAGGCTCTTCCTCCAAACTCTCCACACAGAGCTCCAGCCAGAGGGTGCTGGGCATCACAGCTCCTCTTCTCTCTCCTCCCCATCTCCAGGCGCAACTGGTTTCTCCTCCCACAGTCACCTCCAGACCCAGGGCTATACTGAAAAATGGCTCCCCTAAGAGACTTTGAGTCACTTGGTCCATTGAAAGTCCCCTTCATGCCCAGCAGCCATTTGTGCCAATGCCTGTGCCCTAGGGAGAGACGGAGCGATCAGTAAGCCATCATCTCAGAGCCCTGCAGGAAAGCAAGCTCTCCCTCCCCGACCCAAGTCCTCCCGGCGTTCACCTCGGAAGCCCAGGCTCAGACTCGGACCCCCTCACGTTCTCTGTCTCCCAGCACGTCAGGAGCGTGTCCACTGTGCCCAGCTCGCTCCACACGGACGTGCAGGGGTGACCAGAGTGACAGTGAGCCACGTGTGTGATGGTGGTGCACAGTGGACACCTGCATAGCAGTCTGCTGGTTTAAAGGGACGGAAGAAGGTGGGATGAGACCGGCACCCCTCCCAGAAATAAAGCTTGTACCTTTGAGATTCTTTTTTGCCCTTGAAGTCAAACTAATAACTGTGTTTAGTACGGAGGTGTTTGCTGGTTTTCTTTGATGTTTTTTCTAATGCAATAAACTCGCTCTGCCTGCTGCGTTTGTGTCAGGTGTGACGGTCCGGGTGAGCGTCCAACATGAAGCCCTGGCTTTTCTGTCTCCCTCTGAGCTTGACTTTGCTGACTCTGGATGTGCCGCCTTTGCTTGGTTGTAAGTCTTACAGACAAGAAGTGAAAGTAGGAACGAGTGTATGACTTTCACCACTGATATACAAAGATGGGGGAAGAACCCCGCTGAAAAGAGCCAGATAAGGTTACACTGCAGTGAGAGAGATGGGCACCAGGTGGCGCTGTGCACCCCACAACTGCCCACAGCCAAACTCGGCTGACCTGGATACCGCAGGTCACAAGACTGCCCTGCTCCCCACACACCTCTACCCTTTCGTGGCCTCCAACGAGTCCACGGGGCAACGCATTTATCAAGGTGCTTCTCAAATTTATCCTCGGACCTCTCCAATCCCACACCTTCCTGCAAGAGCAGTTCCTATCACTGCAGGCGGTTTCTACCTCTGCCCTTAATTTACCATTTGCTGGACCTGAATTCTCCCCTCCCCACCTATCCTCAGAGCAGCCCCTCACCAGATGCTAAAGGCCCAGCTTTAGCACTTCTCTGCAAAGCCTTTGCCCCCTCCACGCACCGCTGCCCCTTTCCTCCTGCAGGTGCCTCCCAAACTCTCCTGCTGGCTGTGGTCATCTGAGTGCTCAGCGCCCAGCACATGCCTGGCAGAGCGCTGTCATCACGGAGTGAGTCAGCCTCCATAGGCCCACACTGAGGGGGTGGGGCAGGTCATATAAAACCCTGGACCTGGATTCAGACACACGGATTGAACCTCTGCCTCAGATACCTTGATCAGGCCTTCCTTTCGCTGGGCCTCAGTTCATTCTGTAGAATGAAAACTGCATCAAATAGTCTCTAAGGCCCCTCCTTGTGGGACTCCTCTCTCCATCCCTGGCATGAGAGGTGAGGAGTGACTTGCCCAAGGTCTCAGTCCTGGGGCTCAGGTCTAAGCCACAGAAATCACTAACCCAGGTGTCAGGAGACTGCTGTCCTTGCGTCCCACCCCCAGGCGGGGCAGTGCTGGGGCCCAGCCATCTATGTCCCCACTGGCTTTGGCTGAAGGAGCCCCAAGGGGGCCTGTGCCAACCCAGCAACAGCCTCCACCCCCTCCACAAAACACCTATAAACGTGCGCACTGCAGCTGGTTTAAATGTAACACCCTTGTTTATTGTGAAAACAAAAGCTCTGCAGGCATTTTGGAAAATGAAGAAAAAACAGCTAACACCCACAGTCTCACCAACCACCCACTGCTCCAAACCAAGATGGAATTAAAACCAGCAATAGCTCTACCCTGCTCCTCTTTAAGCACATCTCCCCTGCACCCAGAGAGGCTGCAGTGGTGGTCCCATTTATAGACAAAGACCAGGACCAGAGTGTGGGAGGGACCTCCCCAAGGTCGCCTGGGGAGAGGCAGCCCCAGGAGCTGTCGGTCTGACTGTACCCTCACTGCACCTGGGCTGCCCCCTGGGGTTGGGACTGCCCACCTTCAGGTCGCACTCCAGACAGGGAAGAGGGGCAACAACCCTGTATTCATTCGGCAACATGTTGACACTTGGCCTTCCGCCAAGGGGCTCGGGAAAAGCCTGGGCTTTGGGGGAATGGAACTGAATGCGAGTCCTGACGGTTCTGTGTGACCCGGGAAAGCAACTTCAACTCTGGTGTCAGTACCTAGGTCTGAAAATTGAGTGTCAGGACTGTCACCTCAGAGGATTCTGGCAAAAGAAAATGAAATGCCCAACGGATGAGCTATACTGCCCAAAGCAAACGCGGGAGTCACTAACCTGCAAACCTCAGCCAACTGTATGGCCCAGAAGAGCCTCGTCTTCCTCCGTGAGCAGGATCCTGCCAGGATGGGGTCTCAGGCCCCCTGCCTTCAGGCCTGGCTTCCTTTGGTGCTCTGGAAACCCTTCTGGCCCGGCCTCCCAGTCCCAGCTCCCCCAGTCCTGCTCCCCGCTTTCCCTAGGGCCTCCTCAGGGCCCCATCTGAACACCAGTTGCCAGGGAAAAGCCTCCCTCTTAAAGGGATATACTGGTGGCCATAAGGCCACCCGATCTGGTCTTCCTGGGTCTGCATCTCAGGGCAGTTCACTCCCCCCCTCTGGGTTTCAGTATCCTCATCACTGAAATGAGTTGTGAGAATTCAGGGGGAGATTGTGAAAGGGATTTGTAAGGAAACTGGTTCACTACAGGTCTAAGGCGTAGGTGTGCTATTCTTGGGAGTTTACCTTTGTCTTTGAAAAGGCAGAGTTAATCCACAGGAGGCAAACACTTGTCCTGCCCGATGGGCCCCATTCTACAGTTTCTGGATTCCAGCACCAGGGGTGGAGCCCTGGCATCTGCATTTAACAAATTCCTTAGGAATTCCTTTATTTTTTTAAATATATTTTTATTGATTTCAGAGAGGGGAGAGGGAGAGACAGAAACATCAATGATGAGAGAGAATCATTGGTCAGCTGCCTTCTGCACACCCCACACTGGGGATCGAGCCTGCAGCCCAGGCATGTGTCCTAACCGGGAATCTGACCATCACATCCTGGTTCATAGGTCAACACTCAACCACTGAGCCAGGCCGGCCGGGTGGAATGCTTTTTCTTTTTAATTTATTTATTTTTAGAGAAACATAGATTTGTTGTTCCATTTATTTCTGCATTCATTGTTGATTATTTTTTTAATAATATTTTTAATGGAATTTAAAGAGAGGAAGGGAGCGGGAGAGAGAAATAGAAACATCAATGAGAGAGAGACAACAGGCTGCCTCCTGCACTCCCCCGAACATGAAACCTCTCAGTGCATGGGACAATGCTCAACCAACTGAGCCACACTGGCCAGGGCATAAATGTTCTCTTAGAGTTTGAGCCTTGGCTTGAATTCTTTCCTAGCCAGAACTCAAGTACAGAGGTTACCAAACCTTGGTCCAGTCTGACCCCACTGGTGTAACTTAACCTGGTGCTTTTTGCCACCACTAATAATCTTACAGATCAGCGGTTCTCAACCCTTTCATGGGGGTCGCCTAAGACCATCGGAAAACATATATAATTACATATTGTTTTTGTAATTAATCACTATGCTTTAATTATGTTCACTTTGTAACAATGAAATTGGGGGTCACCACAACATGAGGAACTGTATTAACGGGTTGCGGCGTTAGGAAGGTTGAGAACCATTGTTATAGATGAACCATGCTTAATTTATCCAATCCCCAATTTTTTTCTTTTCTTATTTTCTAAAAGTTGAATTGCTGGCTCGAAGGGTCTGCACAATTTAAGACTTTTGACAGGCAATGTCCATTTAATCAGTAACAGTATCCAACACATCTATACAAGTTCTCCTTTGGAATGGGCCTGCTGTGTGCCTGCTACTTTGTGGGCGCTTCTATTTCTTTTTTTTCTCTTTCTTAATATATTTTATTGATTTTTTACAGAGAGGAAGGGAGAGAGATAGAGAGTTAGAAACATCGATGAGAGAGAAACATCGATCAGCTGCCTCCTGCACATCTCCCACTGGGGATGTGCCCGCAACCCAGGTACATGCCCTTGACCGGAATCGAACCTGGGACCTTTCAGTCCGCAGGCCGATGCTCTATCCACTGAGCCAAACCGGTTTCGGCCGCTTCTATTTCTTTTCATGTGCAAAGCAACCCTACAAAGTAGGTGGTGTTCTTCCCATTCTGCAGATGGGGACACAAAGCTTCAGAGAAGTGAAATGACTTGTCCAAAGTCACATAGTGGTGGACCTGGGAAGACAACCTAGAACCGACTTCAGAGTCAATGTGATGATCAAATGGTTATGAATAAAGATCCGGGAAGGCTTTTTTGAAGGAGGTGGACCTTGAGCTGAGCCTTATGAGGTGGACAGAAGGACAGCAGGAGGAGTAAGGCAGGGGAAAGAAAGCAGCTGGCAAAGTCTATAGCTAGAGCAAAGGCCATGAGGAGATTTCTTCAAGCTCAAGATTTTTAGGGCAAAGGCATTATCAGGGAGGGGCGAGTTATGGAATGATTGATGGCAGACGAGGAAAGTCGGGACAGTCCAGCCCTCGCCCAGCCTGGCCCTGCACTGCGGGTTCGAGGCCCCGCCCCTGTCCAGCCTTCCACCGCCTGATGCAATCTGAACCATCCCATCACTGTCCAACCTGGGCCCAGCCCCTCTCTTCCGGGCTCTCTTCCTCTCTCATACCCTGCGGGGCCCTGGCCCCGCCTCCGTACGGGTCGGTACAACGCGGCCCTTACTGCGGGGCTGTGCTCCGCCCTATTCCACGCCCCTTATCTGTCTGGCCCAATCAGAATCATCCTTACAAGTTCGCTCAGGCCCGCCCCTCCCCGCGGAGACCACGCCCCTTCTGCAGTGACTCACCAGTCCTGCCGGAGGGCCCCGCTCTCCAAGGTCTGCTCCTCTCGGCCCCGCCCCCCGGCG